TAGATTTCCACTTTTGGCATTCCTGGGGTATTCAGGGACGATATTTGCCAATAGCTTTATCGGATTTTTCATTAGAGAGAACAACGAGACGAAAAAAAAACTATTTAAATATTTTAAGAAGCCATTCTAGCATATTTCCAGCTCTTAACCCCTTACGCAGCAAACACAAACCGCATTTTTTTTTTTTTTTGCAAATTTTATCAAAACTAATCTCACAAGTTGGAATATTAACCTTGTCTGTACACACACACACACACACACACACACACACACACACACACACACACACACACACACACACACACACACACACACACACACACACACACACACACACACACACACACACACACACACACACACACACACACACACACACACACACACACACACACACACACACACACACACACACACACACACACACACACACACACACACACACACACACACACACACACACACACACACACACACACACACACACACACACACACACACACACACACACACACACACACACACACACACACACACACACCACACACACACACACACACACACACACACACACACACACACACCACACACACACACACACACACACACACACACACACACACACACACACACACACACACACACACACACACACACACACACACACACACACACACAAAAAAACTATCGTATATGAATACGCATGCATTCTATGAACATTATGAATAATAACAAAACTCACTGGGCATCACCATGGAATATATTGTACCATCTTTGAGGACGGACAAGGGTACAAAGTTCAAGGATAACGAGTGAGCAGAGCGGCGCTAAAGCAAAGAACTGTACGCGCGCGTGTGTGTGTTTGTGCGTGTGCTTGTGCGTGTGTGTTTGAGTGTGCGTGTGTGTGTGCGCGTGTGTGTGCGTATGTGTTTGAGTGTGCGTTGTGCGTATGAGTGTGCGTATGTGTTTGTGTGCGTATGTGTTTGTGTGTGCGTATGTGTTTGAGTGTGCGTATGTGTTTGAGTGTGCGTATGTGTTTGAGTGTGCGTATGTGTTTGAGTGTGCGTATGTGTTTGTGTGTGCGTATGTGTTTGAGTGTGCGTATGTGTTTGAGTGTGCGTATGTGTTTGAGTGTGCGTATGTGTTTAGTGTGCGTATGTTTTGTGTGTGCGTATGTGTTTGTGTGTGCGTATGTGTTTGAGTGTGCGTTTGTTGTGTGTGCGTATGTGTTTGAGTGTGCGTATGTGTTTGTGTGTGCGTATGTGTTTGAGTGTGCGTTATGTGTTTGTGTGTGCGTATGTGTTTTGAGTGTGCGTATGTGTTGAGTGTGCGTATGTGTTTGTGTGTGCGTATGTGTGAGTGTGCGTGGCGTATGTGTTTGAGTGTGCGTATGTGTTTGAGTGTGCTGCGTATGTGCGTATGTGTGTTGTGTGCGTATTGAGTGTGTAGTGTGCGTATGTGTTTGAGTGTGCGTATGTGTTTGAGTGTGCGAGAGTGCGTGCGAGAGCAGAGTGCGTGCGAGAGTGCGTGCGTGCGAGAGTGCTGCGAGAGTACGTGCGAGTGCGCGCGCGAGAGAGTGAGTGTGAGTGTGTATGTGTGTGTGTGTGAGAGAGAGAGTTGTGTGTGATAAAAACTTCCTATGCTATCTCGAAAAAAGAGAAAGAAATATACTGACAAAGAATGCAAGTCGTAAAAAAAAAAAATAATAAAAAAAATAAAAAAATCTAGGACTACCGAGGGGCCTTAATTTCTGCTCAGGTGGGGGCGGGGATGGCACTGTGTGGCCCTCCGACACCAGCAACCCGGTGGTGGTGCTTGGTCGTACCTGGTCGTGCTTCCGACCTGCAGAAGGCCCAGGAACTGCTGGACGAAACACACACCTACGTTTCTCTGAGCAGCGACACCCGAGAACACTTTGGCGACCTAACCTTCCATCGGCGCCTGAAACAATTAACATCGCGTTTCCTTAGGGCGAAATTCTGCAATGGTTTAAGGGTTATTAACTCTCCCTCTCTCTCCTTTCTGTGAGTTATCCGCGGTTCGTATGCCGGTTCAGTTCGGTTCAGTTAGATTTGTGACGTCTAGCTTCGTCCGGGCCTCTTCACTCGAGGGACCCGGCCTGTGGCAGCTATTTCAAACTACTGTCTCGGATGTTTTGTTTGAATTGAACGCTTAACGTGGAAGCTGGATTACCACGAGGCACTCCAGTTTCCATAGCGTAAGCATAAAACACTATTTACCAGTCCGGCAGCTATGGTGGTGAAGGGGGGAGGGTGTTCCCTGTCTCAGAAATTTTGTGCTCAATCCTGTAAATAAGGTAACAGGGTGGCGTTCTGCTCGCCGTAATGCTTGCATCCCCTGTCTACCAAGTCAATTGCATCAATAATTTGCCGATCGCAGTGGTAAGTCAATCTGTGCGGTATGATTTCGTTTAATTTTGAGGAAGTGCCAGCGTCATTTGACGACCAGTCACGGGATTCAGTGACGTCACTGCACGCTCTGTAGCTGGTAATAATGGGGATGCATCTCTTCCGGTTTCTTTTTTGAAACCTAGCCCCAGCTGGTTCCCGTCGTTATCACTATGCAGCGTTTGGGTATGTTCTCGGCTCCTAGCAAGAACTTGTAAATTGAGAACAGGACCCAATATTGCCATGTTAATTAGGGAGTTGCAACTGCTATATTCTACACAGGGTTTCCTAGAATATTTGTTTTGTTTACTAATACAGTACAAACAATATAGTTTTCCTCTGTACAGCTGTAAACAAGAAACTCAATATATTATCCATAAAAATAAAGAACTGTTCATAAAATTACAACAAATGCACTGCTGCTAGAGTTCAGGAGAGAGTACACACACACCATCACTACTGTACAGCGCAGCCCTAGGCCCAACTCGGAGGGCGTGTAAATCTGTTCATGATATGAATAATTATGAACAAGAACACATCGACGGACTTTTTTTTTTTTTTTTTCCTGATACGGGCACTGGCCTTTTGACTAACTTCCGACCGCCATAAATACTGGCAAATTTAATCTCCCCGAATTTCAAACACGGCTCGAATGTCCCTTTTGGGGATCGTTATGAACTAGCTTCGATTGATCGAGTACTGCTTGCGTAAAGAAACAATTCTCTTTTCAGTTTTTCAGAACCCTGGAAAAACTCAAAATCGGCAGACTTTACGCCTGCAACTATATCGATATTCGCCAGATTTCATTTCATTTTGCAAAAGTACGAAATGCCAAGTGAGCATGCGGAACAGGAAGTGCCGTAAGTCTAGCCTCAGAATGAAGTATTGCGGTGCCGTAAGTACAGGCATGCTTTAAAACTATAACCAAATTTGTTGCTTATCACCGTCTTTCGATTTGACAGGTATTTTGACTTCGTACTCTCCACATGACCCTGTCCTCTTCCTGGATTTCCTCATGAAACTACTTCATCCGTTTGGAAGTTCCATATCTTGAAGACGGATTCATCGCTCTGCCGACTCTTTCCCATTCGGTATACAAGACATCGATATTCAGTGGGATGCACGCACTCTTAACATCCACTCCACGTTAGCCACTACCGAACAGCGACCGAGACTCCCCGCCACGTTGTGCAGGACGCGTCTACGTCTTTTATATAACAATTCTTCCCGAAGATGTATGGATTTATTGATACATTTCTGCGTCAACATCCAAGGTCAGTAGCAGCGTATACGAAATATTGCACTAGGGCGAAGTTCTCGAGGAAAGGTCTTACAACATTATGACCGAGTATTGACAAAAAAAAAAAAAAGGCAATTAGGACAAAATGGGTTAGATGTCAAATGATGTAGAGAGATATAGGTTAGCGTAGTAGTGAAATGGGTTAAGAGGGAAAGCAAACCGAGTACGAAAGCCGTTCAGGGGACTAGGGGAACTAAATTTTTGTTAGTGTGCATAGGCTGGTGGAATCATACTTAATAAACCAGCTCCTAATCAATTTTTTTCCTGCCAATTCTCGCTTCCTCAAAACTGCACCAACCCGGCCACTTTCCCCATCCTTCGACATCTGCCTTCGTCTCCGTTTACATCTTCAGCCTTAGACTCTGTACTTTCTCCGTTTACCTCTTCAGCCATAAATATAAAATCCTGTACATTTCTAAAACTTTAATTTACTTAGTGGTTACGTATTAAATTAGGTCCAATTAAAATGGGGTACTTTCATTACACTTAATCAGTTCGAGCCGTGCGAAGACAACTTAATATTCAGCAAAATGGGCGTTCCCGGTCTTCAGACAAGCCGCCCCAACATTTACCGCCTTTCAGCCTATGGTCATTGACCTCCCGCTACACATCGGGGTCTAGTAAAACTCTTGGCCACGCTTGCTCTGGCAGTGGTGTGGATGGCCGGCATTTTCTGTTCATTACAATGACTTGCTTCAGGATGAAGCATGGCACATCCTTTTAAGAGAATTTATAGTCCACCGCCGTTAGTAAAATAAGTAAAATTTAATCTACATTCTTCGACAAAACCCAATCCTTACGCATCAAAGCCTAGTGCAAAAACTACAATGCCACTTTTGCCCTTATTTTTATTCCCTTACGTTAATTACAAGAGGTTTGGATTTCATATTGTAGAATCCTTTATGAACAAGAAATGCTCTTGAAAATTTCCCTACATATAGGATAAACAAAAATTGTATGGTCAATCATGTTTATTTGTGAGCACTGGCGGCAACTTCATGGTTACTTCTGGAACCACCCTGAAAAAATATAAAAACAAAAGTTCAGTAATTTTCCCTAGATGTTGCAATCTATTTCCATTGCATTTTATCTCAGGTGTCAAAAAGTAATCATGGTTATCATAACCCAATGCTCTGAATAAAAAGGTTTTCATCATGTGAAAATTTTGAAGGTAAAGCGAGATGAAATACTATCAGGGGTTATCAAAATTATACATTACATGGACAATTTAAGGACATGGTTGTGTAAACAATTTTGTGCCAAGATGCTACACACAAAAGAAAATAAAATACCTTGTGGCACAGTCATGACGGTATAGATCGAATACCAACTCTCGCCTGCTTAATTTCTTTCAATACATCTGGAAAAAAAGTGTTTTTAAGACTCCAGCCACATTGCCATAGTAAGAAATATTACAACAAGGATCTCAGATGTCAAAACGTAATCATGGTTTTCATAACCCAATGCTCTGAAAAGGTTTTCATCCTGTACACAATGTGCTACAATCTACACATTTTCTTGTGTAGTTCAAAGTTTATATACAATAAGCAAGGTCTCACCTTTCCTCCCTTTTCAGTCCCTGGCCAATACCATCAGTGAACTCCAAATACCTAAAGGAACAAGAACAATGAATAAATAAATTTTCCTTATGTGCAGTTCACGGTTAAGATGAGTAAAGAATGTGCTTGATCAAATGTTCCGGCATAAACCTGAAGACCAGCTAAGGAGCTAATCTCCAACGATAAGTAGCCTGGATTTTGATCTAGCGTCCTTACGACCAAAGAAACAAGAATGTTAACTTGGAGATACAGAACGCCGAAAATAAACTATCAAACATGGTAGTTGCTTTTATACACACTGCAAATTGAAGTTTAAGTAAAATATACTTTGCTTTCTATCAAAAAGTACATGCTAACTATTTTTCCAAATCACAAGATGATAGTTATAGTTATGTCTACAATGAGGATTTATGAACAAGCAAAAACAAAGAACTTAAGCATTTCATGAAGTAAAGCCAAAAATATTAAAAAACTTACCAAAGCAAATTTAAACTTTCTATCTTCACGAGTCATGCTCTCCTGAAAAAATAAGGCAATTCATTAATTTCCAATTATTACCAATATAGAGTGCATCAGTATTTTTCCATTATCAGACCTCTTTAGCAGAATCATTTAGATCATAAACACGGACCAAGAGGATTTACTCATCACAAATACAGATGCAGTTTCCTTGAAATATGCTTTATAAAACAATAAAAAGTCTTCAAGTTTTGATAACTTACCAATATGACAAGCCCTGACACCTTGCAATTTAGTCAAATTGGTAGCCTTGAAATATCACCAGCATCCTGCAAAATAAAATTCCAATATAATACAAGCATGAAAAATATGCAATCTTAAATCTTTTAAAAACCAATCAGACCTCTTTAGCAGAATCATTTAGATCATAAACACGGACCAAGAGGATTCACTCATCACAAATACAGATGCAGTTTCCTTGAAACATGGTTAAATTATCACACTTAATATTCTAATACAGCAAGTTTATATTAATTCAATGATTGTCAATTTTCATATTACAAAATCACTTGCAATGCAGGAGAGCGGGAAGTTTCTTAAATAAAAAAATAAAAGGCCATACCTTGTGAAATTTTAATATACCAATTCCGCTTGCACATTTCCTTTCATCGTATCTGAAAAAGTACAAGGCATTTTTAAATTCTGTCAAAATTACCAGATATACTTCCTACACAGAATATTTCAGGTGTCAAAAAGTAATCACGGTTTTCATAACCCAATGCTCTGAAAAAAAGGTTTTCATCCTGTACACTGTGCCACAATCTACACAATAATTTACAAGTACATCTAGTACAAATGCAATATTTACCTTCAAACCACTTTCACATTCACTGACCAACATCTGACAGGAAACCCAATGCCTGAAAAAGTAAAATAAATACATTAACATGCAATTCAGGATTTTAAGATCAGCGATGAGAGTGCACGATCAAATGTTCCGGCATAAACCTGAAGACCAGCTAAGGAGCTAATCCCCAACGATAAGTAGCCTGGATTTTGATCTAGCGTCCTTACGACCAAAGGAACAAGAATGTTAACTTGGAGATACAGAACGCAGGAAAAACTTGCATATTAAAACAAGTTACTTGTAATATCAATCTGTTTAAACAAATTTAAAATCCAATTATATTCATGTTTTGCCTACTTTTATAATTGAGACAAAATGCTAAAAATTAACAAAGGATCTTGTTCAATACCATTGAATAATTATTTCACCTTCAGATTATTACATCTGAAAGAAGGAAAACTTACCAAATTGAGTATCCTTCCAAAAGTTGGACATTGAAATCAGGATAACCATTTCCTGAAAAAAATTAAAAATGGGAAATTAATAACTAATTATGAACATGTATACAACACCCATCTCCCAAATTATTATCAGACCTCTTTAGCAGAATCATTTAGATCATAAACACGGACCAAGAGGGTTTACTCATCCCTTTATATTTTGCTCGGGTTGGGGAAAGTGGGTGCAACTTACCTAGAGGAAACTCCTCGCCTCTTCTGCACGTCATGTTGATAGCACAGGAACCACACTAGCTCCTGCAAAATTGCAACAACATTCACTATAACAAGCATAAAATTTCAATCTCTTTTTAAACTAAATTCTTAAATTCAGACCTCTTTAGCAGAATCATTTAGATCATAAACACGGACCAAGAGGATTCACTCATCATAAATGTTATTCAAGGTGTTGGACAGTCACCTATAAATG